AAATACATAATTAGTGATATTTTTGTAAATAGATATTCTTAAGTAGTATTCTTGCAAATTTAGACACTAAAAAACACATATTTGCAATTGCTCCAAAAAAATATAACTATATTAATTTATACGATAATTCGATTAATGCAACCATCGTCAACGATTCTATCGAATCGAAGCGTCTCGAAATGATCTTCCCGACGAAGGTGGCGACGTAGATGGTTTCTCGCGACGAGGGAGTAGTGTTTGCTTCGGTTGCATAAAAGCGGCGATTGGGTATTTCCCTAAGCTAAGCTACAGTATCTCCACCAGTTCCATTTCCCTTTCCCCTTTTGTTGATATTGAACGATTCGATATGCTTTTTTTTATTCTACTTAAATTTATTCTTCATTGTCTGATAAATAAAACATTAGCTACCTTTGAGTCATCCTATGCTTTCATTCGTTTGGAGAATCATGGCCCTATTCCATTTCAATGTATTCCACGAATCTAACCATTCCACCATCGTTTTCGTCCTCTTTCTAAAGCTGCAAAAATTTTAAAAAAAACATAATCAAATCTGCATCTTTTTGTTGTACCATCTCTTCAGAACAATCAAGCCTACAAAATACAAGCTAACATCAGTGGGATTATCAAAACCAGGAAAGTAAACAAAAGCCTGTTTAGATTGGAAGAATTCATATATATATATTTCTTTTAGCAAAAAAAAAAACAATTATTATATTTTGCTATTTCTGACGAAATACTTGGCTAATGGGACCACGGCATCTGAAAACTCTTGGTTACTTGGCTCTCGTGGCAAGACTTGATAAGACCATCCGCATTGGTGATCTTTTGTGGGTGTCTTTAAATATAAAATTATTAAAATTTTAATAAAAAGAAGAAAGAGAGTGTTTTTGGTTAAAATAATAGGGTGTATTGAAATATAAAATTAATAAAATTTGAGTAAAGAGAGGAGATAGTGGATATTTTTGCAGAGATTGTGTCTTAGGAAGACATAAAGAAAACATTTTGAAGAGAGAATATGGGTGTGTTTAAATATAAAATTAATAAAAATTGAATAAATAGATGAAAAAAAGGTATAAAGTTGAATAAAAGAAAGAGAGAATGTGTTTTTAATATTTGTTTATTTAAAGACATGCACAAAAGATCACGAATGCGATGGTCCATCATTATTGATGATCTTTTGTGAGTATCATTAGATATAAAATTATTAAAACATACATTCTCTCTTCTTTTTACTCAAC